AGACTGGGTGGCTTAAATGACAGAAATGTATTTCCTCGTAGTTCTGGAGGTGGAAGTCCAAAAACAAGGTGCTTGTCAGGGTTGTTTTCCTCTGAGGCCTCGCTCCTTGACTTACAGATGGCCGCCATGCTGTGTCCTCACATGGCCTTTCCTCTCTGCATGCAAACGCTTGAAGTGTCTGTGTGTGTCCTGATCTCCTCTGCTTATAAGGCAGCATTCCTATTGCTTTAGGACGCACCCTAATGGCTTCGTTTTAACATCATCATCTCTTTAAAGGGGCCCTACTTCCAAAGACAGTCCATCCTGAGGTGCTGGGGAGGAGGGCTGCAACACAGGAACTGGAGGGAAACACAGTTCAGTCCATGACAGGCAGAATGGGTATTGGAGAACAAGCCCTTCCCCCTTCTGCCAGCATCCCTGGAACTGGGTAAATACGTTTTTTGGAGCTGTTTGTTCTGGTCTCCCCTTTCAAGTTCAAGTCTCCTCGAAACCAAAAGTCCCAGGACACAGCACACTGCTCTGCACCTAAAGCGGTCCGTGAGTAACTGCCGTGGTGGTGGCTACAGCTGGAACCACAGCTGAAACCACAGAGACTGGCAGCCAGGATTCGGATTCTGCCACCTCCTCCCGCCATGCTGCTCAGATTCCTTCAGAGTCTGGCGTCCAGCAGACCCCCATGTGGGAACTTAGAGCTGTGCGTTTTAGCCTCGGATTTTCCCTATCAGAGGTTGCAGAGCCCTAATGTAGTAATTGCTGGCCCTGGTTTGGCACAATTCTAGGGTTTCCACAGAGACCCCAGTAAGTACCAAACTATCTGAAACCTTTATATGAAAAGCCGTTCGAATTTTTTCTGGGTCACTTTGCATTGTTTTGTTTTCTATGGTCACCACAGAACCTTAAGTGGTAAGGATAGGTTGTTTCACCCAGCCGGTGTGGCTCAGTGGTTGAGCATCAACCTATGACCCAGGAGATCACGGTTCCATTCCCAATCAGGGAACATGCCTGGGTTTCGGGTTCGATCCCCAGTGTGGGGCATGCAAGAGGTAGCTGATTAATGATTCTCTTTCATCATTGATGTTCCTATCTCTCCCTCTCCCTTTCTCTCTGAAATCAATAAAAATAAGTAGTAGTGTTTTTTAAAAGAATAGGTTGTTGCAAGGTCAAAGCCAGCATGTCTCAACTCCAGGAAAAGTTGGGAAACCAGTGCCTGAACCTCAGCAGGCTCTCCCCAAGGCTAAGACTAATGAAATGCCAGCAACCCCAGTTTGGGCAAAGGCAAATGAGCCCCAGACTTAAAACGGTATTTTTTTAATACATTTTATTGATTTTTTTTACAGAGAGTAAGGAAGAGGGACAGAGAGTTATAAACATCGATCAGCTGCCAAGGTACATGCCCTTGACTGGAATCGAACCTGGGACCCTTCAGTCCGCAGGCCGACACTATCCACTGAGCCGAACCGGTTAGGTTGGAGCGGTATTTTCTTTTTTTCACTTTCTAACCATTTTACAAGCTGCCCCCCATTGAGCCAGAGTGAGGCTGCACTTGGAAAAAAGACAAAGAGAATTTCCCCTAAATATGCTGACAGCCTTGCTCCCTAGACACCTCGAATCCACACAGGATTTTGGGCTCTTGGACTTTTCTGTAGCAGGACTGGTGCTCCACGAGGCTGTGAAGTCCCCACGAAGAACACTATACAGCCCAAGACACAGTCTCTCCTGGTCCCTTTCTGCCCTAGCAACAACCACCCCAAGTGCAACTTTTGGAAGCTGTACAATATAGCTAATTGTTTGCATTGGACAGTAGTATGTTTAGAGCTTATGCCTCTAAACAGACAATTATTTTCTGCCATTTGCTGGTGACACTGCCTGCCTGGTGACTTCGGCAGATGGGGAAAGGAGCTAATCCGTAGGTTATGAGCAGAAGGGCTATTGATGAAATGTCACCATCTGTTGGTGTCATTAAAATGATCTGAGTCATAAAGAGTTGCTTATGTTTTTTTGGTCACAAAAAGGTTAGCTTAGCGTGTAGAAGAAGTTGCTAGATTGCAGACGGCAGTGGTAGACCAGATGGAGTGTCCACCCGGAAGGGGGAGGAGTCTGATGAGCTCATCCGATCAGCTTGGTGAGTCTTCAGGGAAGCGCTGAGATCCCCTCACAATAAAACCATCATCTCATGTGAGACCGGGGACCTATTCCGAATGATGCCACGCCTCAGCTCTCCCATGGTCCTCCCGTTTTGAGGCATCTATCGGGCAGGCAGGACAAGTTAGTTATTTTGGTTAAACAGAAAAGAGATCCTATCTGAGAGGGAACAGTTACAATGTACCTGGCTCCTTAATCTTCTCTGGCCTCAGTAACAGATTGTTCAGGTAGCCAGCTGACACCTTGACAGTCTGGGATCTCAGCTGAGGATGATATGCTCGCTCTCTCTCTCTCTGCATCTCCCGGGAGGAGATGGGGGTGGCTCTGAAGGGGAAGCAGGATGGGTGGGAGCCCTCAGGATGAGGAAGGAAAGCAGTAAGGGGACTACATCAAACTGCATAGGAAAGAAACCAGCTTTTGGTTTTGTTGAGTGTATTGATTTTCTGGTATCAATTTCATTGATTTCTGCTCTAATATTTTAAAATACTTTCTTTTGCTTACTTTGGGTTTCATTTACTCTTTTTTATTCTGGTTTCCTAAGGTAGAAACGTAGATTATCCATTTTAGATCTTTCATTTCTCCCAACACATCGCATAGCAAAGGGATGGAAAACGTGAGGAGCATATTTAGTGAGGATCCGGACAACCAAATTAAACTGCACCAACTCCCTAATTCTACTTATTGCCTAATCCTCTTCATTCTTGCCTATTTGCTGTTTATAAACTATTTTACCCACTGTCAAGGACATATGCCCAATGAGAAAGAACCTGTTAATACAAGCCCTGTCTAGTATGACTTAAGATTCCTTTTTAATTATTGTTATTATTTTTAACTTTAACTCCTGGAGAGAGAGTGTGGGTGATTGGGTAAACCACTACAAATCCTCTTGGCAGCACTCAGATTTAAATTATAAATTATAAATAACACTGCAATGAGTCAGGCCTCACACCCAGCCCGGCCTCCGGTTGAGCCCGTATTTCCTATCCTCGTGGTTGGCAAACTGTGGCTCGTAAGCTACATGCAGCTCTTTGGCCCCTTGAGTGTGGCTCTTCCACAAAATACCACAGCCTGGGTGAGTCTGTTTTGAGGAAGTGGTGTTAGAAGAAGTTTAAGTTTAAAAATTTTGGGTCTCAAAAGAAATTTCAATCATTGTACTGTTGATTTTGGGCTCTGTTGACTGATGAGTTTGCTGACCATTGCCCTATCCCACCGGCCTGCACCTGCCCCACCGGCCAGCTCCTCCAGGAGATGGGTGCTGGGAGTTGGTGCTGCTGCTGCTGGAAATAGTGTGCGACACTTAGAAGGAAGAGCCACGGGCAGGCGCTGTGTGAAGCTGTGCGGGTTATTTATATGGTCTCCAAAGGAAGCATCCTGGAAAAGTTCCTGATGGTATTTTTAGATCAGATGCTTGGTCCTGCTGCCGCATGTTCATTTTTAAACAAGCAGGGATGGAAGTGATGGATGCTGTCTGTAGGGCTGTTTCAGAGGCTCGGGGGGCCCATCTGACAGGCTAATGGTCATCGCGCCAGGGCCAGACCCGCCGTCTGTCTGCTCTGGCTCTGGGACTCCAGGAGCTGCTGACGTCAGCAGGGAATGCATCAAACCTTGGCTGCCTGCTGCCACGTGGAAAGCCTGCCGTTCTCCCAGCTCTGGGGCCCCCTGCAGATGGCAGTCCCAGGCTCCATGTCCTGATTGACTTCCCAACCCTGTGTTCGAGGATGGATGGGACATGTGTTTACATAATAAGCCTTTGTCTGGAAGTAAAATGGTTTAGAATTGAATGAGATGATCAAACTGGTTAGAACTCACAGCCACACAGCATTCCATGAGCCAGTGAAGGGAGTTGAATATTGTTACTGAATTTTTGCTATGGTTACCTTTATTTGCCCACTCAAAATCAGTGCTAAATCAATCAATAAATAAATATTTTTATTTAAAAAATTGAATAGCCCTAGTCAGTTTGGATCAGTGGATAGAGTGAAGGGTCCCAGATTCGATTCTGGTCAAGGGCACGTATCTAAGGTTGCAGACTCCATCACCAACCCTGGTCAAGGTATGTAGAGAGGCAACCAAATTGATGTATCCCTCTCACATCAATGTTTCTCTCTCAGTATCTCTCCCCCTCCTTTCCACTCTCTCTCAGAATCAATGAGAAATATCCTCAGGTGAGGAGGATTAACAAAAACAACAACAACAAAAATTTAGTCGAAACTGGTTTGGCTCAGTGGTAGAGCGTTGGTCTGCGGACTGAAAGGTCCCGGGTTCGATTCCGGTCGGGGGCATGTACGTTGGTTGCGGGCACATCCCTGGTGGGGGGTGTGCAAGAGGCAGCTGGTCGATGTTTCTCTCTCATCGACGTTTCTAGCTCTCTATCTCTCTCCCTTCCTCTCTGTAAAAAAATCAATAAAATATATATTTTTTTAAAAACATTTAATGTTCTTCCCAAGGATTTCTATGATGAATCCTTTGGTTTTGTCCTCAAGGAGAAGGGAGGAGGAGGAGAAGGTGGGTGCCGGTCTTTTGCTCTGCAGATACAATTTCTTGTGAAAAGCCCTGTGTCATAGCTGTAGCCACTCCAGGTGAATGACCATCTGAGGCGCTAAAGAGTGATCGGGGAGGGGGGGAGAGGAATTTCTGAAGACCTCATGGCTGGGCCTGGTATTGTCTGTCCCTCGGATTCAGACTGAGGCAGGTGAGGTTCTCTTACAAACCTAAGAAATGCGTGGAGGAGGCTGCTGGCATGAGCCAGGAAACCTCCTGAAGCAGCGCAGCGCCTCCACCCTGCTCTGTGCTCCGGCTCCCCCAGCCTGTGGGCATGATCATCATTCAGTGTTATGTGTGTTTCTCTCTCTCCACAGCAGACCGCAGAAACGGGTGATGACGAGGAGGACCAGCCTCTCAGCCTAGGCTGGCCTTCCAACCCCCGCAAGCAAGTCACATTCCTGATTGTCCTCCCCATCGTGTTCCCTCTCTGGCTCACCTTGCCCGATGTCCGCAAGCCTGTGAGTACAGCATCTTTGAATCGATTCCTTGTTTGAAAGCACATTATATAACAGGATGCCTTGTCTGCTTCTATGTGTCTTAAATGGAAACGGGGAATAACATATATACTAGTACAGTCCCATGCTTATATACACCTGAAGTTTATCTGGACTGTTTGCATTATGAGTTCCATATCAGAAAGCACTTCAAAACATAGTCATGTGAAACAACCACCATGTGTTCCAGGAATTTGAATAGGGCACATTGGGGATGGCTTGCCTCTGCTCTGCCATGTCTGTGGCCCCAGCTAGAAAGAGTGACATGGCTGGAGGCTGGAGGCTTCTCCAACTGAGTGAGCAGAGATGATTCAAGGCTGAACGCAGCTGGAATCGTCTACTGGAAAGCCTAGGCATGTCCTCTCCATGTGACTGGGGCTTCCTTAGGCTTTGAGAGTCAGGGTTCCAGCAGCCCAGGGCAGGAGCTGCACGGTGTCTGGTGCGCTAGTCTCAGAAGCCATGTAGACTTAGTGGAGCTGAGCGTGCCTGGTCAAGGCAGTCATAGTTTGTCCTGATGAAAGGTGAGGAGACAAAAGGTCTACCTAAACCATATCAGAGTCCTAGAGTGTATGACACTCTGGATAGGAAGAGTGTCAAAGCATTTGCATACACGTTTTAACACCACCACAGTGTTGTCCCTGAACAGGAGAGGGATTCACATTTTGTTGAATATTTATGTCCATGGATTACTCGTTTGGTTCAAAAAATAATTTAAAAGAATGCATTCATGTTGTACAAACGTCTGCATGTCTGATCTCCTTCCTGTATTGTTATCACTACTGTAATCAATATTCTTTTCTGCCGTTAGCAATGTACTGGGTGCTCTGATCATAATACCATCTTATGATCAGCAAAGTACAATCTGAATGTAGATGAAACCAAGAGAACACCCCCTCGCAGTATGGTTAAACTGGGTTCTAAGGCCATGGCCCCAAAGGGAAGGAACTCATGAAAGATAAGAAGGAAAAGCTCTACTTGTTATTACAGCCTTACATGCACATACTCATTCCACAAAAGTGTGTATCTATCAAGTATCAGCTTGTGCCCTAAGTATTTTCAATAAAGCATATTGTGGAATCTCAGGAAACAACTGGTATGAGAAAAATACATATTCTATATAATAAAAGGCTAATATGCAAATTGTCCCCTCAAGAGTTCTACGAACTGGGGAGTTTGACTGCTATGACATGTACTGACCACCAGGGGGTGGCGCAGAACAAAGGAAGGCCCTGGCCAGCAGCCAGCAGCCAGCAGCTGGGGGAAGGAAGGTCTCGATTGGCCCTGATCGCTGGCAAGTCCTAGGGACACTACCCATGAACAAATTTTGTGTACTTGGCCTCTAGTGTGTAAATAATTAGCATAAGTAGAGAGAAACTTAGGTACAAAGAAATTAACTAACTCATGCCTAGTCACTTCCCAGGCGATGGAGCTGAGACTCAGTGTCAGGGCCCTGTGACCCCACAGCGTGAGCTTCTCCTCATATTTCAGGATGCCAGAAGGTGGACATTTGAAAGCACTATTTCTGAAAACATTTGGAATAGACTACTGTGGTGACATCCAACACAAGTTAGCATAACTCTTGAGTCCTATGATCATCCCACTTTCCTTACTTGAAAAAGGCCAAAGCAAAACGCTGCCCTGATAGCCTGACCAATAAAAACTCCAGCCTGCTGGAGAGCCCTGGCTTGTAAAGGTCAGGCCAGGAAAGGGCCCCTGGTGTGAGGACTCCTGACAGACATTTCCTAGAAAAGTTAAAGCAACAAGAAGCAGAGCGCCTGCTCTCTACAAAGGCCTGGCCTCCTGGAAACCCGCCGCCAACAGCTGGAACATGTGCAGTTTCTCCCTGGCTCACATCACGTGGCATTTCTGAGATGTGCGTGCTCACGTGTAAGCCCTCTCACTCTGTATTTCCATTGCTCCGTTTTGCTCAGCCCCAGGGAGGAAAATCAGGGAGAGAGACATGTTTCTGTAAATCCCCACAGCAGGCCTCACGGTGGCACAACCCAGAGGAGAGAGTGATTGACTAATAAGAGGGTGTCAGCACCCAGCCAGGAAAAGTGCAGGAGTGGGAAAAACATGTTAATAACTGAAGACTCTGGGCTCTCAGGGCGGGTGGGATGCCCAGAGAAAAGACTGACAAGGTGCTCATCCTTTGCATCCTTGGAGCTGGAGGAACGAGAAAGCAGTTCGAGAAGATCCAGCTCCCAACCAGCAACTCCTGAACAACAGTCAAGACTGTGCTGTGGCAGTAGTGACTTGGGGCCGCACAACTATGCTGGCTGATGCTACAGTTCCCAGGGGCGCAGAGCAAGAAAAGGCAGTGGTAACATCTCCCTCTGCTCTGCAGGACCATTGGCGGGTCACTCGCTGTACAGGCAGTGTGAGGGCGCTCCCCTGCAGCCTGGGCCCCGTTAGCCAGTGGGGCGTCAGCTCATTGCAGCCCCAAGTGCCGTCTGGGGTGGACTAAATGTGTCCTGTCTGTTTCTGAGTATACAACATGCTCTCCCAAGCAGAAAGGAGACCCCCCAGAATATTTGGTTGATATTGCAGGTCTTCAGCAAATACTTATCGAGCCCTTATTACATGCCCAGTATCAGACTTGTGCCCTAAAAGACACCTGAAGACACAGAATTCACAGTTCCTACCTGTAAGGAACGCTAAGCTGAGCAGAGGGAACAAAGCACGTCCACATATAACTACAGAGCAAGACTGCACAGCCGTGCCTGTCAGAGGAGCCAGACTCAACCCCACAAAAGCCTGCTGACACCTCGGCATTCTCATTCTGCCGCTGTGACGGCGCTGGTTTCCCCAGGCAGCTCATGAGTGGAGCAGCCTGGAGAAAGTCACTTCTCACCGTAGACCTCATGTTTTCTCTCTGTGAAGGACAGGGTAGAAGACTTCCAGATTCCCGGGCAGCCGTGACCTTCTGTGATTAAAGGAAGCATAGAGCGATAGCCATCAGGACAATGTTCAAGGTGACCGCACAGCCCGGTTCGCCCAGGGCAGTCCCAGTTTACTGTGGGTACAGGTCTGGAAGGTGAACTGCGTGGTTATCCTTTACTTGTAGGAAATGCCAAATGAGAGAGCAGGCTACTTCCTCATGTTCTGCCCCGGGGCCTTTTGAAAAATTACCCGGGAAGAAGGGAGAACAAGTCAAAAATTATTAATTAGTCGACTTTTGCTACTCCTCAGTGCCTGGCAGAGTAGTTTTTCGTTTGGTTTTGTTTTCCATCACCATCTAGCCCCTTCATCCTCCTCAGTAGCTTTTGAATTACCCATGGAGACGAGCATCTAAACCTTGACAATAATTACAAAGGAAAACATGAATTTTTTTTTAAAACGTATACATCTACTTTCAGAGTAAATGGCACTCCTGCTTGTTTTTATTTCCACTTCATTTATATGCAAATGATGCAACAGTGTTTGTTGTATAATAAGCGCTTCCAGCTCCGATAATTAGTCTGGGCTTCACTTTTATAGTTTTCCTTAAATTAATGGCTTTGTTTTGAAAGTTAAAAAAGAAAACTAAAATGTAAACCTTAATGAGGTACATGTCTTTGGTGAAAATTGAAAATAGTAAAGGAAATAAAGACCCAAAAAGATAGATCCTTTTAATGGCCTAGGATGGTGTTCTTATAAATCAGGAACACATCCAATGCGGTATCAAAACATGACTCATCAGAGGGAGGAAGGTTCCTGAGAACACAGCAAGGTTTTTGCTATTTTTTTCACACATTGATTCATTCACCGAGTAGATTTATTATGCCTACTATGTGCCCAGCATAGTTCTAGCAAGGAGTAAATGACCACTGAATCCAGAGAGCTTGGAGATTTGTCCAAGCACACCCAGCTAATAATAGGTGAAAGGCAAGACTCCAGACCAGGTCTCTGCAGACACTTGCTCCTCCCTGAGTTTCAATTTCCTAATTTCTTAGGAAAAAAAAAAACTATATGAAGGTAATACTGTAAATAATAATGGCCATTGCTATCTGTGCACTTACTGTGTGGCTGGCATTTTGCTGGACCCTTTATGTGCATGAGATCCTCAGACTGACTAGATCTTGCTATTCCCCCACTTTACAGATGAAGAAATTGAGGCTTAGAGAGATTAAATAATTTTGTTTTAGGATACATCACTGGTAATTGGTGAACAAGAATTTTTTTAATATGTTTTTATTGTGTATGTTTGTTTGTTTTTTAAGAGAGACAGGAAGGGAGAGGGATATAGAGATAGAAATATCTATCAGAAAATATTGATCAGCTGCCTCCTGCATGCCTCCTACTAGGGATCAAGCTGACAACCTCCAGCATGTGCCTTGACTGGGAATTGAATGGTGACCTCCAGGTTCAAGGGTTGATGTTCAACCACTGAGCCACACTGGCCGGGCATCAGCAAGGATTTTAATGCCTGTCCTATTAATCTAGGAACTGCACTTTTAATCTTTAATAAGATTGTTTTTGGAGAACTTTGTTAAATATATACGCCCCAGAATCTTCCACGGAGTAGATGCTCAGTGAGTATTTGCTGAGTTTAAATGAGTAAGGATATGGCTAATTTGTGCAATGAGCTAATGTTCGGCAACGTTTTTGCAAGCCAAGAAAATATCACTCTGATGTACTAAAAGCTTCTAATGAGAACATTAGCTGTCAATTATACAAGGAAGCCATTACACTGGGAACAAAATGGCCGGCACACGGACACAATTTGCTTTTTGCTAATTAGCGTGAGGCCCATCCCAGCAGATGTCAGGATGGGCCCCCATTACTAACCATAAATTGACATGGCAGCCCTTGTCTGCGAGGGCTATTTTCTTCCCGCCATGGAGACAGTAACTAAATAACTGCCCAGGTGCTGCTGGGCGGTGATGTCTGGAATGAGGCCATAGAGTCCAAATGAGGGGGATCGTTCAGGGGGAAAAGAAATGAAAGAGGAAGGAATAACCTGGGCTGTGCGTCTGGAAATGGCGAGGTGGTTTGACAGTTGGGAAGCGCGAAGCCAAACCGCTGATGGTCGAAGGGAGATGCTTCCAAAGCCGAGACAACAGGGAGGCTGGGCGCAGCAGATGGCCACACAGCTGGGATGCTAGTCTACACTTCCCTGGTGCTCTTTATACTTCCTAGCTCTCAGAGCATAGGCCAGTGTCATGATGATGGTGATGATTATGTGTCTGTGGCTGGGGATATTTTGGGTGGTACTGGCCCTGTTTTTCTTTTGGAAAGAGTCGGTATAACCTAGATGTTAGGAACACCTGCTGTGTAGTCAGACAGTCCTGGCTTTGAATTTTATGTCTCGTTCAAGACCTGGGTTCAGAGTAGGTGCCAGGTTTACTTACCCCTAATTAATGACGAAGACCTGAAAATTTACCCAAAAAATTTATTTTTAACTATTTTTTAATGAGCCCCAAATAGTACACTAGGTAAAGGTACATTTCGGTGCTCATTCATTACTAATGGGCTTCCTGATTAAGAATCATAAGCATCAAGATTTGAATTAGAGAGGTTTTTTTTTTCTTTCACTAATACTGATTTGAATTTCGTTGTTTTAAATCCTTAGTTGGATTCCCTACTTTCTACCTTTTGGCTGGGAATGTTCTATGGTTCAGGGATATTTTTTAGATGGGAAATATATTCAAATGATTTGATTCTGAGTTGTGACATTATATCAATGAACAGACATGCAAAGGTATAAAAATTAAAATAATAACTACATACTTAGTAAATGAGCTAAGCTGGAAAGGGAGTGATCTATGAAATGAGAACTCTCCCGGGATACCCAGTACATGTGCCATTCCATCAAGTATGGAGATGGTGCGCCATTCCCCTCAACAGATGCTCAGAATCAAGCTCACTGGCTGCTATTCAACCACATATGTGGCCCCACCCTTCTCTTCCCTGCAACAGAGCACGGCCATAGGAGATGAAACCCTCATCGTACTTAGGACCCTGGAACAGTGACTGTGAGAGGAAAAGGATGAGGATTGGATTCAGCTAAATGCTTTGCAGGGAAAACTTGATTTCTTAGCAGTGGCAATCCCAAGGCTCAGGGAATCTGGTCTCCAGGATCCAGCTGAACTCCCAGTTTTAAAGGAATTTGCTTTCTAAGGTGAATATCTCCAATGATCCCATATCTGGGACTATATTCTAAAAACCTCAAAACACCAACCAGAAAGAATATATGCACCCCTATGTTCATAGCAGCATCATTTACAATAGCTAAGATCTGGAAACAGCATACGTGCCCATCAGTAGATGAGTGGATAAAAAAGCTGTGGTACATTTACACCATGGAAGACTATGCAGCTGTAAAAAAAAAAAAAGGGGGGGGTGGGGGGGAAATCTCTTACCCTTTGGGTCAGCATGGATGGACCTGGAAAATACTATGCTAAGTGAAATAAGCCAATCTGAGAAATACAAATATCATATGACCTTACTTATTTGTGGGATCTAATGAATTGACCAACAAAATAAGACCCGAAGCACGGAAGCATGGAACAGACTGACATACCTCGATGTGGGGTTGGGGACAGGAGAAGAGATAAACCAAAGAACATATATACTTATATGCGTAGCCCACAGACACGGGCAATAGGGTGAAGACATGGAGGGTGGATAGGAGCTAGAAGGACAGGGATAAGTGGGAAGGGAGGGAATGGGAGATATCTGTAATTCTATCAACAATAAAAAATATATATTTAAAGTGAATATCTCAGTCTCCACTTTGAAAAATTGATTACTTTTTCCCATAACCTGTTAAACTGCTCTCATCCCCAAAGGGGTCTGAATCTTTGGCCAACATATTTGCGAGATGGTAGAGGAAGGCGGGGGAGGGGCAGTATTTGAGAATAAGGTTGTGGCTACTCACGGTGGCCTGCGTCTCCCCAGTTTCATCAAGCCCACTGGTATGTCCGATAATCCAGCTAACAAATGACCCCAGAAAAGCCACAGGCATTCAAAGAGAGACATGACTATTGTGAAATTTAACAGACCTGTGTGAATGACAACAAAAACATATTGAAAACTTGAAATTAGTAAAGAGAACATAAGCCTGGTTCAGAGCGATAGAGACGGTGTTCATCTTATGGATAATCAAAAGATTACCTTGCACAAGTTTATCTTTTCCTATTAATGGATTTCTCAGAAGCCGTAGCGAAAGTGTTCTGCGTGATTGCCCAAGGTCAGCCCTTCAGACAGCTGAAATAGCTTTCATCCCAGGCAACTCCGTGATTCATTTCTCTGGACAAAATTGGATGGCATTATCAAAGCAGAAAATAGATTGTTTCTCAAAGTGGAAAGCTTTGAAATAAAAAGTGTTTGGCAATAATAGGTGATGGGCTCTTAGAACATTTTGCAAAAAAGGGGGCCTCCACAGAAAACCACCAATGACAGTGCAATGGATTTCCCTATGGTGGGGTCAGGTAAGAAACACTGCATTTTGAGTGTCTGATTCCGGCTGATGTTTGAAGGAAATTTTAAAAGTGCTCGTGCTTACAGAATCAACCTCAGAGGGAAGGCAGGGGAGGGTAGGAGCGGGGAGGGGAAGGTTAGAGGTCAACCAAAGAACTTGTATGCATATAAGCATAATCAATGGGCACAGACAATGGGGGTGGGGGTGAAAGCCAAGTCTGGGGGGCAGGGGCAAGCTGGGAGAGGACAATGGATGGGGAAGGGGACCTGTGTAATAGTTAATAATAACAATAAAGCATTGTTTTAAGTGCTTGTACTGTAAGCCTGAGATTGCGCCAAGTCCAGCAGTAGAGACAGAATTAAGGGAAGAACATCCCAAGAGTGTCCACACTGCTACCCCCAGGAGAGCCATACGGTTGGGCAACTGTATGTTCCTATCTCTGCGAGTGGCTCCAATGTCCCGGACTGGCCTCAACCGGGATCTATAGAAACTGTGGCGATGGCTTTTTCTGTGTGGCTTTTCCTGACCACCCGTGGGACTGTGGGATGCGCCACTCAGTTTCAGAATTCTTCCTGTTCTTGTAAAATGTAATTAATCCCATAGGTTTTGTGGCATGCGGATTATTACGATGCATGGGTTGAAGTAATAAGAACTGGTGCTGATGAACTTGAGCAGAAGAAAGAAAAGGGAGCAGGAGAGGGAGGGAGGATATGGGGGAGTTAATAGGTTGAAGGTGAGGCTGAGATAACAGGCCTTGGGAAGAGCATCTGAGCATCCAGCAGCCGGAGGAGACATTTTCTTGCGGAGAGTTCCATCTCAGGCACTAGCTTTGCAATGGTTTGGCTCTAACCAAGTTCACATTCCCGAGACTCTTACTGTCCCAGCTTGACCGGGGGTGGTCAGGGCCTTCTGATTGCCAGTCCTACCGAGACGGCCAGCTGCATCGGTGGAGTTAGCTTTAGACCGTAAGACCCACTCAGTTGACAGAACTGACGCTCTCGTCTCTCCCTGGTTCTCTTTCAGTCCGCAAGGAAGTTTTTCCCCATCACGTTCTTCGGCGCTATCACCTGGATCGCAATATTCTCTTACTTAATGGTCTGGTGGGCACACCAGGTAAGACCTTAACCGTGACACCATCTGCCTGGGGTTGCTAAGTTGTTAATGAGCGTGTTTGCTTTCTAAGACTGTCACAGCAGTATTGCGTCTGACGAGACAAGTTAAATATTCCAGGACTAAAGGAATTTATTTACCCCACTTCACTTTCCCGCATCTCCTGGCCTTTCCCTGGAGCGTGAAGTCAGAAAACCCCACTCAGGCCTGTGGAGGAAGGAAGGCAAACCTAGCTGCTGCTTGCCCTCTGCAGCCTGAAACCAAGCCAGCTCAGGCCTGGGAGGGAGGTTGAGGTTCTGCCTGACTCGATAGCATTTACTTTCTCTTCGGGAATTAACCGGCCTTCTTTTGTTTTTTATTTTCTTATTAATCCTCACCCATTGATTTTATTATTAGTATTATTAGTATTATTAGTATTATTAATATTTTACTGGAGTGACATTAGTCTACATGAACATATAGGTTACATGTGTGGATTCCTAATTTACAAAATCTATATACAGGACCATGTGCCCACCACCCAAAGTCAGATCTTCTCCTGTCACCTTTTATTAGGACCCCTTTCTCCCCCCCCCCACCCCGCTTTCTAGCACCCACCAAACTGTTGTTTGTATACATAAGTCTCAGTTTTATATCCCACATATGAGTTAAAAAATATCATTCTTAGCTTTCTCTGTTTGACTTATTTCACTTCCCATAATGTTCTCAAGGTCCATCCATGTTGTAAATGACACTTTTTCACTGTTTCTTATGGCCGAGCCGTACTCCATTGGATTGTTGAGGTTTTGCCTGGCTCAGTAGCACTTAGTTTTCTTTGGGAATTAACCAGCTTTCTTCTTTTTTTTTTTTTCTTTTTTTTTTTCTTCTTTTTTTGTTAATCCTCACCCATTGATATTTAGAGAGAGTAGAAGGGAGGGGGAGAGACAGAGAACCATCGATGTGAGAGAGACACATTGATTGGTTGCCTCTCACTCATGCTCTGACAAAGGCCACGGCCATGCCCTGGACCAGAATCAAACCCAGGACCCTTCAGTCCGTGGGCCGACACTCTATCCACTGAGATAAACTGGCTAGGGCCAGTCTTTCTTTTTTTCAATTAGAGTTGACATTCAATATTATTTTGTATTAGTTTCAGGTGTACAGTATAATGGTTAGACAATCATAGACTTCACAAAGTGTTCCCTGTCATATTTCTAGTATTCACCTGGCACTGTACACAATTATTACAATATTATTTACTATATTCCCATGCTGTACTTTACATCTCATGACTATTTTGTAACTACCAGTTTGTATTTCTTCATTCCTTCACCTTTTTCACGAGGCCTCCAGAACCCTCTTGCTCTTGCAACCATCAGTTTGTTCTTTGTATCTGTGAGTCTGTTTGTTTTGTTTATTCATTTATGTTGTTCTTTAGATTCCATATATAAGTGAAATCATATGATATTTGTCTTTTTCTGACTTATTTTCACTTAGCATAATACCCTCTAGGTCCATCCGTATTGTCACAAATGTAAGATTTTTTTTTATTTTTTTTATGTCCAAGTAATGTTCCATTGTATATGTATACTACAGCTTTTTATCCACTCTTCTATTGATGGGCTATTGGGTTGCTTCCATATCTTGGCTATTGTAAATAATGCTGCAATGAACATAGGGGTACATATATTCTTTTGAATTAGTATTTTGGGTTCCATTGGATATAGACCCAGAAGTGGAATTGCTGGGTCATAAGGCAGTTCCACTGGCTCTTAGAAAGAGACAAGTCATAGTGATAATATTCTCTTATTATCACAAGAATAAACTCCCAAACAGTGCTTGTTGTAACACATGAAGGAAAGAATGAAACACAAAAGAAGAGAAAATAGTGGTAACCATTATTGACTGCGTACTGTGTGCCAGGCAGCTCACATCCCTATGTCCTTATAATCTTAACAATAACACTTAACAATTTGTCCATAAGTACAAATCCTATGAGGGAGGAACTGTTATTATTCACAGTTTACAGATAAAAGTGTTAAGTTTAGAGCTCATAAGAAAATTGCCCAAGATTATTTAGGTAGTAAATAGCAGACCTGAGAGTTTAACCCAGGACTCTGAAACTCCAGAACCTATGCTTTTAATCTCACTTATAAATGAATTATATAAATTACAAACTGCCCACTTGGATCCTTTGTTTCATTATCATATTAGCCTTCACATTATTATACTTTTAAACATAAGTAGAATATAGCAATTTGAAATAAGGAAATATATTCCAAAAACATATATGGAAAAACACCTCGACAAATGGTGCTGGATTTCCATGTGGCAAAATAAATGAATTTAGATTAGAACTCATATATCTGATAAAGCACTGTATCCAGGATATATAAAAATCCCGTAAGCTCAATAACAAGAAGGAAAGCATACGGCACCCTAATTTTAAAGATGGATGAAAGATTTGAATAACTGTGTCACAAAAGAAGTTGTGCAAATGGCTAATAAGCACAAGAAAAGATGCTCAACATCATTATTCATCAGAGAACTGCAAATGGAAACCACAATGAGATACCACTTCACAGTCACTAGACTGTGTAGAAATTGGAACCCTTTTATATTGCAGGTAAGAATGTAAAATAGTGCAGTCACCTTAAAAAGCAGTTTGGCAGCTCCACAAAATTTTAAATATAGGGTTATATGATCCAGTGATTCCACTCTTGATGTATACCTACGAGAAAAGAGAACATCTATACAAACATTTGTACACACATATCCATAGCGGTATTATTCATAGTAGCCAAAACTGTAAACAACCCAAATGTCCATCGACTGATGAATAGATAAGTAAAATGTGGTCTTCTATATGATGGAAGAGTATTCCACAGTAAAAAGGAATGAAGTATTGATACATGTTACAATGTGAATGAACCTCTAAATTTTATGCTAAGTGAAGAAAAGCCAGTCACCAAAGATCATGTGTTATGTGACTCCATTTATATGAAATGTAAAAAAATGGTCAAATCTATACAGACAGAAAGTAGGTTAATGGATGCCTTAGTTTGGGGAAGGAGAAGGGAAAATGGGGAGAGTCTGATGGTAGGTATAGAGTTTCTTCTTGGAAATGAAAAGGAATTATGCCCTGAGCAGTGGTTAGAGCAATGGCCCACACACAGAAGGGTCTCAGGTTCGAGTTGTCATCAAGGGCACGTACCTTGATGCAGGTTAGCTTGTTGCAGGTTAGCTCCCTGGCCCTGAAGGGGCATGTGCAGGAGGCAATCAATCTCTCACATCTGTTTCTCTGCACACCCCTCCCCCCACTTCGCTCCCTCCTTCCCTACCTTCCTCTCTTATCCCTCTCCCCTTCCTCTCCCCCTCCCTTCCATTTTCTCTAAAAATCAATGGGAAAAAATATCCTCAGGTGAGGATTTTTTAAAACAAGGGATTTAAGGAATCACTAACAGCATTCACTGAAAACATTGGCTGATATACCCAAAATTATTCCTACCATATATTTTATATTATTACTATCGTAGTTATTTTAATGACATTTGACTTCAGATAATTCTTCTCAAAATCACTGGTCCCCTGAAGAAGTTCTTTTTGCCCCAAAGTCATTATTTCCCATATTCATTGAGAGACACTTGCTACCAATACCTGGCAAAAAATTACTGCAGAGGTGGGCTGCTTCTCAGCCTTCAGATTTCCAGGCTAACCGTATGGCTTTTCCTAATACTCATTTTTATTCTTTCATGCACTGATAATGAAAAAGTGGGGGTTTTCAATTGCTGGAATATGTTGTTTTATAGCTTCTTCTCTTTGCCATCCCAGAAAACATTATTGTCCAGGCTTTCTCCATTTTCTTTTCAATGCTCATCTTTACTCCACAATCTTCTTTCCTTTTTATTCTTTTGTAGAAAAACACAAACAAACTGCCTGGAACAATAATAATTACAGAAAGGCCCAGAAATATAAAGAGAAGCCTTGCTTTCCAATAATAGATGAGAAGTTTCCCTTTCTTCACTCCCATAGAAATGTGTTTCTCTTTCAAAACATTCACACAGCTGATCACAATAGCAGACTCTGTTCTGAGAAGTATAGCTCTAATTCTACTGTTTGTACTTTGAACTCTAAAAGTTATTTTTTTAAAAAGAGCAAGAACAACACTTAGTGCTCAACTGTATTGGTACCCACAGTTTTACCAATAATAAATTTAATTAAGTAATTAATTAAATATGCATTCTATTTGATACACTTATTTGACTACTATTTGACCAAGAGTGCCCTTCACATAAAATGCTTTATGCATATTTCCCTTTGTATTTGTTCTTTTTATATAGTTTTTGCATCATGTATCTTTTTCTTAGTAGGTTTCATGGGTGATGAAAATCTGTGGTTAAAATCTATACAGCATCTCCTATGAAAAGTTCATTCTAAAAGTCAACAAGGACCCTATGTCTCCTTTCACCAATATGACATCCTTGTAAATGCTTCTTACACCAAGGCAGGGAACTGCATCACAGAATATTAGGAACAGCACGGGCTTTGGATCCTGAGTGCTTCTATCATTTGCTTTTATTAAAAATCAAGGAAATTCACATCTACACACACACCCCAAGACGATCCTGGTGTCCTTTTTAGCTCTACCTTTCTCTGATGCTCCCCAAAGTGAGCTGGATGCAGTCCCACCCATGCACCCAGCACCTTGCTTCTGGTTAGCCAGAAGTCCCTTCAGCGAGGACAGGACAGGCTAGTGCAACTTACTGTTCTCTGGAGCAGGCATGACCAGCAGAATAAAATAACTCCCAACTGTTTTTTTAAGCTAGTGAGAACTAACCCAACCCAATCAAAAGAAGGATTTAGAAATGTGTCTATTCTATTCCCTGGAAACCTTTAAACTTACATCCCTTTCAGTTTTTTTCAAAACTTATGGACATCATCAGGGAGGCTGTTGGAAACCTTGTTGAAAGCATTATCTGAAAGGTTTTCAGTTTACCAACTTCAGAAAATATATAGTTTTTTAAAGTTCCCAAAAGACAAACAAGTTGCTCAAGAGAACGGAGGAGCTTCCACGTGAGCCTAGACCAAGCATGTCTAACTCAAAGGCTAAACAGGCCAAATAAACAAGGTTTAAGTTTATGTGGGCCACAAAAAACCAAAAGCTTCAATTTTCATAGAAACATGGGTTTATTTCGATAAGAGATATGCTGAATGCAAAGGGCTGAAATAAATAAGTTAACGTAAAATAATAGAACATTTTAATAAAAATTAATTTTTTGAACATTAACTACCAGACACTGAGTAACTGCACAAATTAATAAGCGTAACACAAATAAACCTATTTTTCTTATTCTCTAAAAGTGAAATATTTCCTGTTGTGCACACCAAACAATTCTGTACAAGAGTAATGACTGGCAATCGGTTGCTAAAATATTCGCTGATAGTATTAGTGGAGAGAAATGATGCGCCTTCACATAAGTCACGTAAGGGAAATGAATGCAGCATAATTATAGTAATCAGTCATTAGCAAACGTTGTAGTTTGTTATTAATAATTATGTATAACAGGATATTATAAAAGTTAATTTACAGACTTTTTATCAAAAAGTTTCTTACATATCGTTATATTGGCTAGGCCGAAAAAAATAATCATTGTGGGCCGCATGCGGCCCACGAGCCTCGAGTTTGACATGCTTGGGCTAGAGCGATGCATGATCAAACTCATCAGTCTGTAAAAGTCAAGACCAAAAGAAAATATAATTGTTCCCCTGGCCTTCCAATAATGTGTACCATTTACTTTTCCACAAATTACCACTTAGTCCTCACAACCACCTTGAAGCACCACTTGATAGATAAGAAAGGGAGGATCCAACACATGGCACCATGCATTCACTGAGCAATAGGTCCGGTGCCTAATGAGTGCCGCGGCCAGCCCTTGGACCAGTCCTCTAATTCCCTAAACGACAGTTTCTTCATTGCTCTCTTGCTGATTTACAGTTCTATATTATCAAAGCAAAATCAGCCTGAATCAAGTTTCCTGTGGAAATGGTAGTTTTAAGTGTTTAAGAGGAGGTTATGGACATTAGGATCTGTTCAGGAAATATGGGGATGTTGGGTGTAACTCTTTCACGTTCAGTGGTAAATCCAAGGACATCTGCCACAGAATTTGGTGCCATTGCTAGGCACTTACCAGGTTTTTTGTTTTTGTTTTTTTGTTTGTGTGTTTGTTTGTTTGTTTTTGTGTGTGTGTGTGTGTTTAATTTTCTGCTTTCTAATTTTCTGCTTCTTCTGCCCAGTCTTAGCAAACACCATACAGAGGCTGCCCTGTGTAGCCTTTTTTGAGATTATCTGTCTAAACCTTAGGTGAACATTCCCAATCTCGGTCTAAATGTCATTAATCTATAAACTCTATGGCAATGATTGTAGCTTATTCCTCTTTATCATTTCAGTGTTCAGTATAACCCAGAGAAGGAACTCATTAAAAGGGTGTTACATTCAAAAGGACTTGTATGCATGCATATTAGCATAACCGTTGGACACAGACACTGGGGCAGTGAGGGCTTGCCTGGGATGAGAATGGCAGGAGGGAGGAATCAATTGGGGTAAAAGAAGATACATGTAAAACTTTAGAAATAATTAATTAATTAAAATAAAAGGGTGTTGTGTTGAAATGTTTGTGGTTTGAATGGTTTTGTGACTACAAACTCTCACATTTGTCCCTGTCATCACTTTTAGGTTGGAGAGACAATTGGCATTAGTGAGGAGATTATGGGTCTGACCATCTTGGCTGCTGGGACCTCCATCCCTGACCTTATCACCAGTGTCATAGTAGCGCGGAAGGGGCTTGGGGACATGGCTGTATCCAGCTCTGTCGGAAGCAACATTTTTGACATCACCGTAGGGTAAGTAGAGACAGCTCTATAAAGATGCACATCAGCTTCATTGCTGTCTTGGAAGCTGTGAAGACATGGCCAAACCAGGATCTCTGAGCCCAATACTAACCAATGTCCATAGGAAGTAAAGACTGGGAGTACCATTCGGTGTCACCAATTCCATTTTTCATTTTCAGAAAACTTAATGAAGAACAAGTTATCCCTACACAGGCAAAAACATATACCTGCATACGGAGTGAATGTTGTAGGAAGTATGTTAGGAGAATTTCACTTCTCTGATTGCATGGGCTACATGTTATGATTGTTCAATAGTCAGGCTTGTCTGAGATGATCTAGTAGTTTCACTATATGTTTTTTTTCATATTCTAATTCTAAATAAAGTCCCTACCAATCTCAAGTGAGATTTGGATTGTAAAGCAGATTGGAACAAACATGTCAGTAGACCCGGCAAAAATATCTCAGCTCCTTCTGGGAAAGGACTAGCAGGTTCGCATTTTCACTTGTTTATCTGTGATGGCGAAGATGTGCTAGGTGTTTTGAAAGTCAGAAGATAAGATCTGTTCTTACAGTTAAGCAGACTGGAATTCTCAATGTGAATAAGCTCTAACGTGGCTTACATTGGGGAAGGCTGCTGTTTTATTATCAGTCAAAAAGTAAAGTTAGTCTGATATATAACCTTCAATGGCAGCCTCCTGTATTCCCAGGAGAACTGGGCTCTGGACACTTGAATTTGGAAACTCACTAAAATGGATCTGCTCTCTTGTTGAACATTTTGGATATTATTTCTCTTATATCTCTACTTGACCTAATATATATGATAGTAATTTTTCATTCAGTGTCTATAATGTGCATTGTACATGCATTTTTACCCTCACAGAGATTTAACCTCACAGAGATTCATAAGGTATTTTATCATCCTCGTTTTTCAGATAAGGAAACAGAAGGGTGCAGAGTTCATAGGAAAAGAGGTAGCTGAGATTTGAAGAGTCTGTGCTTTCACGTGGAGCACTATCTGTGCATAAAAGCCTGGTTTGAGCTCTACTCTCTAAACCAGCTTCAAGTTCCAAAGGTGCCCTCTCCTGCCATATTTCCTTTCTGGACTGGCCCCTGTCACTCAACAGCCCTCCCTGCCTGGAAAACTCCAACTGATCCTTCCAATGTCAACTAAAATGAGGGCTTCTCTGATTCTTTTGGGCCTGTACTGTTGTCATGGTCATGTACATCAGTCTGCCTGCTAAACTGAAATCCCTGAGAGCAAGAACTCACCAAAGCCTAATACACTGCCTAATGCTTAGTAGTGGCTGGACAAATGTTGGAAGGAAGGAAGGAAGGAAGGAAGGAAGGAAGGAAGGAAGGAAGGAAGGAAGGAAGGAAGGAAGGAAGGAAGGAAGGAAGGGCAGATGCCTTGAAATATGTATGTTTCAAAGGAATGGTATCCCTAATATAAATAATATTTCTCAGTTCCGCTGCCTACACTAGAGTAGTTTTCTTGGCCAATCTTTTGTAAAATGGAAAAAAAAAATGTTCAAAAGTATAAAAAAGAATATCCTAAAAACTGGGGGAAATTACAAGTGATCTAAGTCATATTTTTAATGTTTTTTAAAAATAAATATTCTAGGAAATTGCAAAATGTTTGTGATCATAGTTCTTAAATTGTATATTAAGTAACAACTGAAAGTTGAGAGAAAAATGACCCCTAATCCTACTACCCAAGAACAACATTAACTTTTGTGTGTTTTCTTCCAAATATTTCACAGTTTCCTCAGGGAATATTGAGTTTTATCTTCTTAGAGGGCTTTCTTTTTTCCATTTTAAAGGCATTTATGCCTGGCATGGGGTAGGCATCTATTAGCAAACTAGTAAGTCAACCATTTTTCTAAGCTTCTTCCTAGCTCTCATAATTAACATTTTATGTCTTTAAAATATCCCATGCTGTTGCTTTTCAGTTTAACCATTATCCTTTAGTAAGTTCTTTCTATATTTTCTAATTTCCTGCTATTTTTAGTGTTTCTATGAACAGTTTTATGCAGAAAAAAAACTCCTCTTTTAATCATTTTAAATAGGATAAATGCTTTCAAGAAATATTGATGAGTTTAAATATTATGAGCCTCTTAATGGCTATTGATGTATATTTTTCCAAAAGTCTTTCAGAAGAGTTTATACCAATTTACAAAGTTTTGGTAATATATTGAGTATAAAAGTTCATAGTCTTACCTTCATTTTCTTATTACTTAAGATTATTATATATTCATGGAAAAGAACTTAGACAATACATATAAAGCATAAATACAAATCATTGATAATTCATAACTACTTAATAAATTCTCTATTATTAGAGATTAAGATATACCCAATTTTTCACTACTAAAAATAACACAAATTATCACTTTTCTGGATAAAGTTATATCTGTATTTTGAATTATTCACTATGCTCCATCCCTGATAATAGAATTGATATGTCAAAGGTATGAAAAATGTCTTTTTTCCAAAAGGGTTTTTGCCTATTTGTGGTGCACTAACCAACTCTTTACCAGAACTACTCTGAATGAGTGTGTGTGGTGTGTGTGTGTGTGGCTTAACAAGCTATGGGAAGTGTGTAAACAGAATTGCTGGGGGGGGGGGGGGGGAGTTCCAGGAGAGGTTTTGTATCTTCAACACCAGCACTCCCCTCCCCTTTGCTGACTTCCCATTGCTGACCGCAGGGTGCTGGGGTGCCCCCTCCTGCCGAGAGCTGGGATTGCACCCATTCCCTGCAGTGGCCATGTGGAACACTCCCCTCCTGACATCTCCGCTGAAGTAAGCGCCTCCCAGTCAGGTTCTTGTGAGCAAATTGCCTGTAAATGATCACCATGAGGCAGTTCTCAGTCACTCCAGCCTGGCCCAGGTTAACACATGCTCCTGGATGGGGGCCCGTGGGCGCCAGGCGCTGGGAGTTCAAAGATACGTACGTATGGGCTCTACCTTCACATGCACTCTGTCCAACAGAGACAGGGGTATAAACTCACTGTCCCCTTTGCTCATTGTTTCCCTCAAGCCCCGTGCTTTTCCTCTGGAGAGCGTTGTGTTTGGAAAGGGTGCCTCCTCTTCCATACAGCTGAGGCCAGGCCCAAAGGGAATCTCCCTTCGCCCTAGGCTGTGCAGCGGGCTCAGCCACTGTGGCAGGGCTCCGTTTCCACGGAGTCCCCTGTTTGCAGCCATGTCCCTTCCAGAGGGCCCTAGCCCATTCTCACGGTTCGCCTGGCAGCTAGCTCCTCTGCTGTCTTCAGAGTCGCCATTCTGGTTAGGAAACAAAGGATGTTGTCATATGTTAAGTCAAATACAAAGGGAGAGAACAAGTATAAAAATCCATAATAAAGTTTTTTTTAAATCACATCACGAATGTAAGATACTGTCTTCCCCAGATCTCTCAGAAAGATTGTTTTCAGTGAAAGGGATATCCCGTCTTTTCCAACATAAACTCCAGGCAGCTACGTGGCATCAGCCCCACCATCAGCATATATTTTCACTAGCTTTTCAGGTTGTTAACTAAGCCGTTGCCATTTCTCTCCATTTAGAAAGAATAACTTTTTCATTTTCACTGCCGATTTCCATATCTTTTATCCATTTGTCTTCTCCTCCTCTCACCCAAATGGTCCAGGTCTGAGAGGGACATTTTCATCTCAACTAAGGATGGTTATTTCAAAACCAGTTTGGAAATCACCTGTTGCAGCCCATGTCTTTGATGGGATCCAACTGGAGAACACATTCTTTATTTTATTTTATTTTATTTTATTTTTTACAGAGAGGAAGGGAGAGGGATAGAGAGTTAGAAACATTGATGAGTGAGAAACATCGATCAGCTGCCTCCTGCACAACCCCTACTGGGGATGTGCCCTCAACCAAGGTACATGCCCTTCACCAGAATCGAACTTGGGAACTTTCAGTCCACAGGCTGACGCTCTATCCACTGAGCCAAACCAGTTTCAGCTGGAGAACACATTCTCTCCCGGCTCCCTCATTCAGAGGGGAAATAGATAACGGTTCTTAAAACTCGCCCGACTTCCTTTGTGACTACCAGGCCAGCCCTGCCCAAGTCACAGTGAGCCTAGCAAGACCCCTTTCCCATTATAGATTCCAAGAAGCTAAGGTTGCCTTACCTGCCCCCTTCACCCTGTCTGCCTGCCCCCTGCCAACCCTGTCCTCTCACCCACCCGCAGGCTTCCACTGCCCTGGCTGCTGTTCACCATGATCCACAGGTTCCGGCCCGTGGCCGTGAGCAGCAATGGCCTCTTCTGTGCCATCGTCCTGCTCTTCATCATGCTGCTCTTCGTCATCCTCTCCATCGCCCTCTGCAAGTGGCGCATGAACAAAGTGCTGGGCTTCATCATGTTCGGCCTCTACTTCGTGTTCCTCGTGCTCAGCGTGCTCCTCGAAGACCGGATCCTCGAGTGCCCGATCTCCATCTAGAGGGAAAGCCATCTCTTGAGCCAACAGCAGCCCAGGTGGGCCCTCCCCCCGCTCTGGGTTCTAGACTCTCTGGTCTCTGGAGAAGAGGCAGCGGGCACCCAGCTCGGGCGTGTGGCGTGGCCCTCCTTGGTGGACGTGAGGAGGAGCTGCCCGCTTCACAGACTGCTGCCACCCTTTGCCTGCGGAAACGGCTTCATGTGAGAGGCAGAGAGAACTGTCCATCTGGGGCTTCTCTGCACACACCACTGACAGGTACTCCTCGCTGGTCGGAGGTACATTCTCTGTAACGATGCAGACAATGACAGAGCTGCGTATACACCTATAAGATATTCAGAGTATACATAGATGCACATGAACACACGGCCTGTTCCTGTACCATACCTCTCCTTCCACACCTATAGAGTCATGCACACCTGTACACACAAACACAAAGACACACTATATATATAAAATTATATATATATATATATATGTATATGTATATTTAAATACACATGCATCTTTTCAGGGATAGCTCTAATATATTTATAATATCTATTTGAAGAGGGGCACTGACCTTCTGTGTGAGCTTTACCTCTTAAGGGCAAGAGGTACACCAATGGAATCATTGCTGTGGCCTTCTGCCTACCTTGAACTCCCTGGGATCCTGCGGGGTAAGGTGGATGCTTCAGGGACGTAGGTCTCGGGGGAGAGGGCTGGGCGGGGAGGGTCTGTCGTGGCCCTGGGTTGAGCCCTCCAAACATTTCCACAAGCCAAACAGGGGAGACTCTCTGCCCACCCCGCAGGGTTCCCTGGGACAGAAGGAGGTCAAATCCGGATGTGGTTGAGAAAGGTTTGGGGGCAGAGGGATGCTAACCAGGGTTGTTGTTTTTGGTTTGTTTTAAATATATATATACCTCCCCAGCATGCGAGTAGAAACTATGACTGCAAACCAAATTAGCACTCTTCTAGGACAGCGAGACTATATCAAATGAACCTCGGCTGTTTCCATGCATGTCCCGTTGCCATCAAAGGAAGGGAGGCAAGCATAGATGCAGTTGTCACTTAGACACATTCTGATGCTAAGGGCTCTCATATAATCCAAATGCTGCCCAGAGAGCCTGGATGTGCTAGTACAATAAGAAATTCCATCCAGTAGAGGTGCACAGTGAGACTTGCCATCTAAAGGGAATGGAAAGCATAGTTCTTCGAAGCCTCTTCCAGTGTGGTCATAGAGGGCTTCGGTGTCTGAAGAAATCATTGCTCCTTAGATAGAGCTCCGTGGACTCTGACCAAGACTGTTTGGGTGGAGGAAGCGCAGAGATGTGTGGGAAGGCATTTGCACACAAGGAATGTTTCTGAGTCCTCTGTGGATTGGTGCCAAGACCAGGATTTAAAGCTCATGCACCACCCATGCTTCTCCTGCCATCGGGACCCACCTGGGACTCTCTCTAGCTTGCAGAGTACACAGAAGGCCATACTCGACAGCTTCTTCACACTGGCCTCCAGCCAGCCCTGCCAAGGCGTTGATTTTTTTATTTTGCTCAGCGCTTATGGGATAGTTCCATTCCACTCATGCAGTACCCCCGGATTCTGTTTGACACCGTGTATGATTTCTCAGATCTATGTGAATAGAAAATAAAACCAGCAGGAAAATAATGGCCTACTAAGTGGATGGAATACGCAGTCTTTCATTTCCCTGAGTTACCCTTTTCCTAAAATTGGTTGAAAAAGTCCATTGAGGGTGGCTCATTATTCCATACTCATCCTACACCTAAGCTGGCACACACCCCATGTGGGGGCTCTACCACTCTGTTCTCATCTCCAGTCTATTGTGCCACTGACACCGCTGAGGAAAAAAAGGAAGTTCCAGATCAAACTCAGTGTTCCTTCCACAGAACCTCAGCTCCCTGCACAGAGCCTGGCAGTAACAGCCAGTGCCCATCATTGCTCCTCACCCACATGCAGAAAGCACTTCTAACGGAGGCCCCCTGGGAAAAAGCCGGTGCCGCCCATGAGGCGGGCTCTCAGGTTTCCCCAGCACTGCAGAATCTGGCTTTCGGTTGTGTGAGATAAACCTGCATCTCATTCCGCAAGGGCAACATTTTGTTTTGAGGCAAGAATTTGTGCTGGTTCCTTAGAGTGAACGAGAATACGTGAACTTTTAGTTAAAAACTCTGCTTGTCTTCCCTGTGCATGGTGACTTGAAGGGGCACAGAGTTGGTTATTGCATGGATGTGTATTATCAACTGGTCTGTTATTTGAAAGAAGGTTTGAATAGGTGACTCTGACTCCGCCACAGATAGACTGTAAACCGGAAAGGATGAGGGAGGTCCGGTGCAGCCCTGTTCTTCCTCCAGTACTTCCTGATGCTTCCCCCACCCCCCACGCTGCCTCCTCACTTCTTCCCATTAGCTCCCTGATCACAGTAAAGACTCAGCAGCCAAGGAGCATTCCACTTGCTTGGGAGCTCCTTTTCATAGGGACCCTTCTGTTTGTTCACAAAGATCTGTACTTGAGAAGACCCTTTCAAGGCCCAGGCCCCATCCCCATGACGCACGCTGCAGGGTGGTATACAGGCTCCACCTCCGCGCCCCTGCGGGCCCCTCACTATGTGCCTGTGAGGTGAAGTGTTGGGCTACAGTGAGTCCAGAGAGAAGCGTATGGGATGCAGCAGATCTTTAAAAGCATCAAGGTCATTCCCATAAGGAAGTGTCTCTCCTCACTAGGTCATCTCTACTGTCTCTTCTGCATGCCTGTGTATATACATATATAAATACATATTTGATAGCAGATCTATATGTATATACACAACGCTACCATTTACACCCTCACCCTCTGACCAATCACATTCAGGATTCAAAAGCAGGGAGCACAAGTTTGCCAAAATGAAGGAAAGAGAGTCCTGCTCGCCCACAGCTCAAGGAAACATTTCCTCCTGACCTCCCAGGGTTTGTTCTGTGTACACACACATCTCGACATACACACATGTTTCCAACCCATGTATTTCCCCACCCCGAGAGTATAGATTCACAGCCTAACAGTCATGTCCCTAGTGCTGATGGAGAGACAAAAATACAAAACAGAAAAGTACAAGGGGGAAAATAATTTGGACTGCAGATACTACAGCAGGGTATATAAAATAATGCCAAAAATTCAAGAGCCAACTTTGTACTGCTCAATCTAAAATAAAGGAGCTGCACCACATGGTGCCATTTACCCACGGTGAAAGGCACAGGTCTTGCTGTCATCTCCCTACCACCCTAGGCAGCCTCAGGACAGGAGAGCAACTTGCCTCACACTGAGAATGCCCAAACAGAACCTTCTAGATTGCACCTGGGAATTGCCACGCTGAATCCGACAAGCTCCTGAAGAACTGAAGCTGGGGGTTAGACAGTGTTCCGCTCGGGCCATGGCCTGAGCCGAGCCATGACAGATCCGGAAAGCACAGCCCTGTGCAGGGAAGAGTGGGAGGTCGCATATCAGTTTGGCGGATATGGAAGAATAGCCTAAAGCCTTTCCAGGCGATTTTACAAAGAGGCAGGGACTGTTTCACATTCAGGGGAAATGCTTCGTAAGGCTTTTAACAAGTGTCACCTGACAAGGGCCATTATTATTTACGTTCTAAGGAAGATGCAAATCAGGTGGTTTTAGAGCCTTTTCAGCAAAACACAGCTGCCTCGCTGATGAGACATTTGTAATATTAAAGAATCCTGGGCAGGGAGAGATTTGGCACACTCCCCACCATTGCTCACAGCTCTTAAACCGACTCCTCTGTAAAGGGAGATAGGAAGGGAGCTCTGACAGAAAGCTGACCAAGGAAATGACAGCAGACAGAGATGCTGGCCAGGCAGAAAGATGGAGGAGATGGAAATTCTCTTAAGTGCTTCGCTGAAATGATTGGCTTGGGATATCTGACATGGGTCCTATGACCTATCTGCATACAAGCATTTCAAAAAACTCCAGTAAGCTTTATTCTTTACATCTGCCAACACACACACACACACACACACACACACACACACACACACACACGAGGTTAGGAGGATGCCCTACTTCCTTGCACCAAACAGGTTGCTACTCCATTAATTAAGTGGCTATAGTATAAGCAGCAGTCCTGCTCTAAAAGAAATAAAGGGAAGATATCCTCAGGATGATTTCTAGAGAAGTCAGCTATCTCCTGAAACCTCATTATAGAAGCTAATGCTCATCCTTGCTAAGCCAGATCTCACATAACCATTGGATTAATATTTTTAAAGACATACCCTCAACTCTTATAGTTTCCCCAGCAATACCGTCTTCAATTAGGGCTTATAATTAAGAGGGAGTTAATGGGGGAAGAAGAGAAGAATAAAAAAAGGAGAAATCAACTTATTTTTACTGGGTTCTCAAGAAAGTAGGTGTCACACTGATATATACCCCCAGGTAGTTTAAAATAATTACAATATTTAGGCTTTTTTAAACTGCTTACAAGACTCCCAGATTTAAAATCTTTCCCTTCTCACGGAGGCCTTGGGGAAGGTAGGTAATATGCCCCTGGTTCGCTGTCTCTTTAACTTTAGCTTGTTGCCTCTGAATCTTTGTGTTTCTCTTTTAATCTCACTTCTTCATATTCTCTGAAATGTATATAAGAAAAGCAATAAAGGGCACTCACTTTCTTATCATTACATCATCACAATGTTTGTTTCTTATCATTACATCATCACAATGTTTGTTTCACTTCACTAGGCTGTGGCAGATGGAGAATGTAGGCATCTGTGGGAGTCACAGGCACACTCATGTTTGCTATGGAAGTAACATGTGCTTTCCACTGAGACCCTACCACACACACACACAGAGTGTGTGCACTGTCATTTCACACCCTTTCCACGCACAGGGCATCAGTCATGCTCAGAACCACCTGAATTTCACAGTCGTCTTTACTCTGACTAGCAACAATTGTCTTTCCCAAAAGAGAGAGAAAGCGCTACGCAGGACAAACCAATCCCCCAGTTAGTCAGGTTTTTTTAGAGACAAAAATG